CCACCTTCTTCGCCACCACGTCCGGATTACGATTGCAGTCGCTTTCAAGCTTCCTGGCGGTAAACAGACGCTCCCCGAACACTTTTAAAACGTTTGTCACGGTCGATTTGGTCACATCCAGCAATTTTGCCAACCTGGCAAAACTTGCGGGATTCTCTTACTGCACGAGCAAAATTTTGACACGCTGCTCCTTTTTCGTGGACGTCATTTTGAAAACTGAAGAGCAAACGGTGAAAGCTCATCATAGCAACCATTGTGTATACACTCATCTTCCAAATGCAGCATTTCAGGTATTTAAAATGCATTTATTTTACAGAAATAGGGTTTTCGATCTAATTTCCGTCCTACTAAGCACACCCCGCGCTTCACCTCACTCTTCTGAACGTGTTTAAACAAAAAATGGAATATTTCTGTCAAAAATGACTTTTAAATTTATTCACCTTTCCATACCGTTGAATTTGATAAAGAGTCACCAATTGTTGAGATATTGATTAAAATCTAACACTGCTTCTTGATTCTAAATTCGTTCTATGAGTTTCAATTCCGTCCTAACGCATTAGATTTTCTTCGTCCTACGGATAAACGTAGAAAAAGGGGATTCGCAGGGAGCGCTTCTTTTGTTTTGAGAACAATGGGCGTAAAATATTCAGACAATGCGCTCTAGGAGGATTTATGTTGTAGCTAATGAACTAACGCTGTTCCGATGCGGTTTGGTGCACGGTGAAATAATTGATATGACTGATCTTTTCTGATCGATAGAACGGAAATGGGCGATTACGACGAAGTAGCGCTCTTCCCTACACCAATTTGAAGTTGAAACATTTTTGCGCGTTCCAGACTTTATTATGAAATGCACAACTTTACCCAAGAAACCATCTTTCTAGAGCGCTTTATTTAAAAGATAAAATGGAGTGCCTGCGCTAGATATTTTGGCCGCTACCGGCCTAACTGTTACCAACTTGTATGATTTATTGCTCCATGCTTTCAAAGCTTTATTGTTCCATACAAATACAAAACTAATGATCGATTAATTTCTTCAACCATATTATTGCGAAGGAATTGATTGATGCCTCGCCATACCGTTAATATTTACGGCACTGGTTTCATTAGTTGATGGCGCGAACTTTCAAGAAGTACCAAGAATTCTGAACCATGACTTTCAAGATTTTTTTAAACTCAGGAAATTTGCATGGCCTTTGGGAAAGTTTCATGAATATCAGGAAAATTGTTGGAAAGTAAGATAAGTTTCGACAACTTCAGGAAAATTTAGGGAACTTCAGGAAAGTTCAGAAATTTAAATGGAAATGCATGAAGGAAGTATCGAAAAATTCAAAAAAGTTTCGGGAACAACTGAGCAGTTCCAATTACTTCAATTAAGCCCCAAAAACTTCAGAAAATTCTTGGTTTGCGGGGAAGTTTAAAGATTTGTCTTTTAAGTCTTCAAGAAAAATTGTAGAGTACAGTTCTATCATCGTCAACGTTTCGATCCAGGGAATCTAACCTTATCATTCTAACAGATAGATCAGTTTTAATTATTTGTCCAATCGACATTTAGTTACTTTTGACCTTTAATCCTTTTGATCTTTTGTTCTTTCGACCTCCCGTCTATTGACCTTCTTGAATAGATTCGATAGTAAAACATGTGTAAAACTGGAAAATGCTAGCCCTAATGTAAATCTTATGTGCTAAGTACTAATGATAGCACAAATTCTACATGATACTGATAAATGAAAAATCATCTAACTAAAAACGATATAGAGGAAATGGCTTCAATGTTGCCCTTTGGATCTAAGATTGGGCCCATCGCCAAAAATCTGTTATTTATCAATTTTATCTAGATGAACGCGTAATTATACGATACTAATGGATATTTTTGGTCGCTATTGAAAATTTAGCCGATTGCTGAATTTATGTATGGGCCCAAATTAGGGGCATTTAGGCCGACATTACATCCATTTCCCCCATTACTTGAAAAGACCGTTACTTTCGATGACTCAAATGGATAAAATGTGTTTTCGCTTTCGAACTTTGATTAGATTTAATTTTGAAGATTCCCGCACATTAAAGTATTTTAAAGAATTCTTTTAGGCCGGTTCGTCTCTTTGCAATTTATTGAACAACTGCACAACTGGTTCACACACAAAGCTTTGGAGAAATGAAACCACATGCCCTGCATTCTAACCTCAACCACCTTCAATCTACTCCCGGGGAATCACGGAAAACCACATCCACCTCATGAAGGACCGACCTGAAGATCAGGTGAATGTAATTGGAGCGTGTGGCACTCTCCAACAGCACCAAAAACTTGAAACCAGGCCCGTTATTTCTCTGCTTGATATCCAACGACCGACAGCCGACGACGAAGTGGCACCAGGAGCCTGCTTTCAGATCAGAAACGTGCAAAAAAAAAACTTTGTTCAAAAACGTAAAACAACAACCAGAGCACAGGAAACGGCTTAACCATTGGCCGTTGTTGCAATGAGACTCGATTCTGCAAACCAAGACTTTTCGCCCGCTTTTTTTTTTTGCTTTAGTTTTGCTCTGCAGATGGGAGAAAAATTATAATGATAGTGTTTGGTTGGAGGACGACGGCCGGGGTAACGAACGAGATTGACTCCGGGCTACCAAGTTGGCGAAGAGGTCCCACAATATATAAACCCATGTTGTATATAGATATTAATTCATCATCCGTCCTGGTGTCTTGTTTGGATCTCGGCACAAAACAGGTTTTTTTTATTTTGTTCAGCGGACGGCTGAACGAATAATAAAGCAGAAAATGAGGGAGGACGCCAGCAGCAGTCGCCAACGACCGGTTCGACTCTTGTTCGAGAGCTTGTGTTTTTCCTACGAGATCGTTTTGTGAATGGAAACGCGCAGACTGAATGAATTGAACCGTGAATGGGACTGCTTTTGCTGCGATTTGGTCATCACACAGCCGTGAGAAACGCCATTATGCTGTGGGATTAATTATACAATCGAACTCTTCGAAACGAGCTCCGGAATCCGAGAACCGAAGGCAGCCTCAGAATTGACCCTAAATATGGCAATTAGTCTCTCTACCGCCGCGCCGCTGCCTAATGCGAAATGCGAAATGCGATGGATGGCAGACGGACCCAGCAATACACGGGAACACGTTGCTGTTTTTCCATTTTCCGAACACGGCCCAAATTTCAATTTGCTACTGCAGCTGCACCAGAGCAAATCAATTTTTGTCGTCCTCCCAGGGCAGGCAAACAGACCCACACAAAACGCCTCAAAACGACACGTTCCATCGATTTGCATTTGCAGATCCGGAGCTCGTCACCGTCGTCGAATCTAGGTCCAAGTTCAAGAGTTCGACAACGCTCAATACGGTCGGACGGTTGGTGTATTGGCCTGCAAGGAAACGAATCTCTTCCTTCCTTTCTTCCGGTCTTCCCCGTTCGCCCAAGAAGGTTCCTATGACATGGAGCGATGCCTCTGAATTCCATCATTATAAACGGTTGCTCTTTGGAACGACGATGATGATGATGCTGCTGCTGTGGTATGCTTTTTGCTTATCACTTGTGGAGTGCAGAGAGCATGCAGATTCATCATATTGATGCTGCCATCGCCCTCGATTCCGATGTCATTATCGACTAGCAGCCCTCTACCTTTCTCACTCAGTAGTCGATCCGATCGGCAGCGAAACGCCTTAGGAGGGAGCACTATGGAACAGGGTGAACTCCGTTGAACTGTTGGTAAATTCCGACCAATGCTTTGATTTTGAGGATATCCGCTTCTGCATCCAGCTACGAATACTTGGATCAATCAACAACTCCGCAGAAAATATATACGATCTCTAGTACTATATTCGTAAAATGTTTAATTTTCAACTGATTTGAATATCTGAAGGACCGGTTATTGGCCATTCGGTGGCAGAATCGTAATGGCATTTTGTTTTCACTATACTCAAATTGATTGGTCGATTTAAGTTTGGAAATTATGCTCAAGATTCCTTACATTTTGGGAAGCTTTCAGGAAATGGTCACTCTCCTGGTGAATTTTGATTCCTAGAATGCCGTTTATTTTCCACCTCGTGAAAGATTCGATATGTCGTATTTACACTGCACTCATGATTCTTTTCATTTTGGAATTAAAAACGATGAAACACTGGTACTAATTTCATGAACTTGTCATTTCCACTCAAGATTCTACATATTTGGGACACAAAATTGAACTGTTTTATATTTATTTATTTTTTTGTTTATTTATTTATTTGGTAAGGCTCAATCGAATTAACTTAAGAGAGCCAAGGATTCTTGTTAATTATACAATTCATCTTAAAACTATAATCAAAAAGTACAACATAAATAAGAGGCAGCCTTATAAAGAAGACTTAAGCAGCGATTTGTTGAATAATAAAGAATGCAAAAATTTCCTGGGTTCACACTGATCTCAAGATACAGGCAAAGCGTTAAACGGTTTTAGGCCATTGTGGATTGTAAAATTGTGCATCCTATTTAAATAAAATTTACTGGAAATTAAATAGGAACCTTTGAAAAATGTCTACGAATTGCCAGAATTCATAGACTTACTGAATGTCTAAGAATTAATAAATACACAGATTATCATAAGGAATCGAAATTATGTATCAGCTTTCTTAAGCTATGACCTTAACTATAAATCATTCAAAATCATTAATAATTCAAAAAAAAAATAGCAATTTCAATGCTTCACTTCAAAATGTTTAAAACTTTCACTTCACTTCACTTCACATACAACTTGTACCTATCCCGATTGGAGGTGGCTGGGTTCAATTCCCGGTCCGGTCTAGGAATTTTCCAGCTTGAAAAATTTCTTGACGTTCCTGGGCGATTGTATGAGTATGATTGTACTTGGTACACAATTATACTAATGCAAAAATGGTACCAGGCATCGAACGCTCTCAGTTAATAATAGTGAACACTAAGTTGAGAGCACGGAATAAGCAAATATGCGATAAGCAACAAGCTTGAAAAGCGAAGAAGAAGTAAAAGAACCTACACCGATCTAGACGAGAAACGAGAATTGAGAGAGGAGATGGAGTAGAAAGCAGAGACGAGAGTCGAGAGATGAAAAAACTAGAGACTAGACAAGATAATGACGAGGAACACGAAAGAGTTGATAGAGGCGAGATATTCTTGTCGTTGCTCTGCTCGTCGCTCTGCTTGTCGCTCTGCTCGTCGCTCTGCTTGTCGCTCTGCTCGTCGCTCTGCTCGTCGCTCTGCTCGTCGCTCTGCTCGTCGCTCTGCTCGTCGCTCTGCTCGTCGCTCTGCTCGTCGCTCTGCTCGTCGCTCTGCTCGTCGCTCTGCTCGTCGCTCTGCTCGTCGCTCTGCTCGTCGCTCTGCTCGTCGCTCTGCTCGTCACTCTGCTCGTCGCTCTGCTCGTCGCTCTGCTCGTTGCTCTGCTCGTCGCTCTGCTCGTCGCTCTGCTCGTCGCTCTGCTCGTCGCTCTGCTCGTCGCTCTGCTCGTCGCTCTGCTCGTCGCTCTGCTCGTCGCTCTGCTCGTCGCTATGCTCGTCGCTATGCTCGTCGCTATGCTCGTCGCTATGCTCGTCGCTCTGCTCGTCGCTCTGCTCGTCGCTCTGCTCGTCGCTCTGCTCGTCGCTCTGCTCGTCGCTCTGCTCGTCGCTCTGCTCGTCGCTCTGCTCGTCGCTCTGCTCGTCGCTCTGCTCGTCGCTCTGCTCGTCGCTCTGCTCGTCGCTCTGCTCGTCGCTCTGCTCGTCGCTCTGCTCGTCGCTCTGCTCGTCGCTCTGCTCGTCGCTCTGCTCGTCGCTCTGTTCGTCGTTCTGCTCGTCGCTCTGCTCGTCGCTCTGCTCGTCGCTCTGCTCGTCGCTCTGCTCGTCGCTCTGCTCGTCGCTCTGCTCGTCGCTCTGCTCGTCGCTCTGCTCGTCGCTCTGCTCGTCGCTCTGCTCGTCGCTCTGCTCGTCGCTCTGCTCGTCGCTCTGCTCGTCGCTCTGCTCGTCGCTCTGCTCGTCGCTCTGCTCGTCGCTCTGCTCGTCGCTCTGCTCGTCGCTCTGCTCGTCGCTCTGCTCGTCGCTCTGCTCGTCGCTCTGCTTGTCGCTTTCAATGTAAGTAATGTCGATTTTCTAGTTAAACAAAACCTCATTCTGGCTTTCAATCCTTTTTACGAATACTCTATCACCGCTCTTTAAATTTGTTTAAAATGCGTTGTGTCCTGTTTCCGTTTTTTTTTTTTTTTTAGACAAATATGTGGATGGAAGATAAATTAAACATGTTACTTGTAATCTTCAAGTGTTTTCACGTGAGAAATGCTTTAAATATATATTTTCATTTTCCGTCCTCTGTTGATGGGTTTCATGAAAGACGAAACTAGCAAAGTCGAGCGCTCTTTCGCTCGTCCGTTTCACCGAAGCTTGAAAGAAAGACAAATGGAGCGACGGGAGAAAAAATAAACAAGCGATTGAATATTTCAACAGTGAGCATGCATAAGAGCGTACACGCGATGATCGATTCTCTTAATCGATTTTCTCTTTGCATTGCTGCAGCTTAGCGAAACAATTTTCTAGAATTTGTTCAATGCAGCGTTGTAACAGGTTGTACTGGCTATCAAAAGCAACAGCAAATGCACCGAGAAACGTTAAATCTAGCGAGTTTTTAATAAAATAGAAAATCGACGAAGAGAATCGATGATCGCGTTTATGCCTTTATGAATGCTCACTGTTGATTTATTTGTGAAATGCAGCAAAGCTGTTCGGCTTTAACAGAAAAAGAAAACCAGCAGTCTCTTCATCGCGTCCATTTGGCCGATTGAAGCTGATATCGAGAGAGACGAACCAGACGGAAAGACCAGTGACAAGAGGCGAGAGATGTGAGCGTCTTAAAACATGAAAAATTAGTAACGAATAATACCAGAGATACAAGAGGAAGGAGAGATATGGAAAAGTCGAGAAAATCTAATGACAAGGAACGTGGGACAAAAGGCAAGAGTATAAAGTCGAGAGGTGCAGAAGACTAGAGAGTTGAGAGAGTCGAGAGAGACGAGAGAGACGAGAGAGATCAGAAAGATGAGAAAGACGAAAGAGGTGAAAAAAAACGAGAGAAACCATAGAGATGAAAAATACCACGGACGAGAGACTTGAAAAAAGAATAACGACATAGACGAAAGAGACAGACGTATCAGAGTCAAGAGAAATTAGATACAAGCACTTAAGGAGCGCTGCCAATATGCAATGCTTTTCTTCATCAACGACATTATTTCAATGCGCATAGATTCGGCAGAAATTTCCGCACAATTAAACTTTTACACACCTTGTCGATATCATAGAACACGGAATTTATTTTCTGAAAAATCGTACCGAACAAACTATGCAAAAAATAACCCAATCTATGGAATTATGCGCCTTTATAATTTGCATTGCGGAACTATTGACATCACTATGTCCAAGCAGCAAATAAAAACTAAGCTTGAACAGCATAGAATTAATGCAATGTAATAATCGTTGTATGTAGTCTACACTGGCTTGACGAAATAAATAAATAAATAAATAAATAAAGACCAGAGAGACGATATATGAACAGATAGACCAGAGACATTGAACAGAAAAAGGCACAGAAAGTCGAGGGACTAAAGACAAGAGACGGAAAACGACAGATGAGATACTAGAGACTAGAGACTAGAGACTAAAGACTAGAGACGAGAGACTAGAGATGAGAGACTAGAGACGACAGACGAGAGACTAGAGACGAGAGACGAGAGACTAGAGACGAGAGACGAGAGACGAGAAACTAGAGACTAGAGACTAGAGACTAGAGACGAGACACTAGATACTAGAGACGAGAGACGAGAGACAAGAGACTAGAGACGAGAGACTAGAGACGAGAAACTAGAGACTAGAGACGAGAGACTAGAGACGAGAGACTAGAGACGAGAGACTAGAGACGAGAGACGAGAGACTAGAGACTAGAGACTATAGACTTGAGACTAGAGACGAGAGACTAGAGACGAGAGACTAGATACTAGAGACGAGAGACGAGAGACTAGAGACTAGAGACGAGAGACTAGAGACGAGAGACGAGAGACTAGAGACGAGAAACTAGAGACTAGAGACGAGAGACTAGAGACGAGAGACTAGAGACGAGAGACTAGAGACGAGAGACTAGAGACGAGAGACTAGAGACGAGAGACTAGAGACGAGAGACGAGAGACTAGAGACTAGAGACTATAGACTTGAGACTAGATACTAGAGACGAGAGACGAGAGACTAGAGACTAGAGACGAGATACTAGAGACTAGAGACGAGGGACGAGAGACGAGAGACGAGAGACTAGAGACGAGAAACTAGAGACTAGAGACGAGAGACTAGAGACGAGAGACTAGAGACGAGAGACTAGAGACGAGAGACTAGAGACGAGAGACGAGAGACGAGAGACTAGAGACTATAGACTTGAGACAAGATACTAGAGACGAGAGACGAGAGACTAGAGACTAGAGACGAGATACTAGAGACTAGAGACGAGGGACGAGAGACTAGAGACTAGAGACGAGAGACTAGAGATGAGAGACTAGAGAGTAGAGACTAGAGACGATAGACTAGATACTAGAGACGAGAGACGAGAGACTAGAGACTAGAGACTAGAGACTAGAGACTAGAGACTAGAGACTAGAGACTAGAGACTAGAGACTAGAGACTAGAGACTAGAGACTAGAGACTAGAGACTAGAGACTAGAGACTAGAGACGATAGACTAGATACTACAGACGAGAGACGAGAGACTAGAGACTAGAGACGAGAGACTAGAGGCTAGAGACTTGACTTGAAAAGAGAATGACAAAGAAGACGAAAGAGACGATTGTTGCGCGACAATGATATGAAAAGATGAAAAATGAGAGATGCAAGATTATATATAGAGAGACGAATGAGTCGAAAAAAAAAACTCGAGGCACGAGAGGAGAGCTGTGAGCGACTAGAAACAAGAAAAAAAAAGTAACAAGAGAGATCAGAGAGACCAGTGAAATGAGCAAAATGGAAGTGTCGAGAAAATCAAGTGACAAGGAGTGAGGGACAAGAAACAAGAGTAGAAAGTCAAGAGATGCAAGAGATAAGAGATTTGAGTGAGACGAGAGTGACGAGAAAGACGAGAGAAACTATAGAGACGATAAAGAGCAGAGATGAGAGTTGCGGGAGACGAGAGATGCCAGAGACGAGAAATGCAAAAGACAAGAGACTAGAAAAAAGAGATGTGAATAAATAGTAACGAGATAGACGAAAGAGTCAAAAGAGACAATAGAGTCTAGAGAGATGAGAAAGACGAGAGAGACTAGAGATGAAACAAGAGACGAAAAACGACTGAGGAGATACTTGATACTAGAGACTATAAGCGAGAATGACGAGGAAGACGAAAGAGAAAACAGAAGCGAGAGAGAGTGAAAGAGATGAGAATAATGAAGATGAGAGATGCAAGTGTCGAGAGCAATAAATGAGTCGCAAAATACCAGAGCATGTGCATGAGAATGGTTGACCGCCCACGGTTGCTACTCTGTTATTGCCAGACCAGCTGTAATTACACAGAGAACCAATAGACGATGCTTGGGACTAGCAATCATCCTCAATGTGTAAAAACTGGTCATCTCAAACTAGGCAATACCAGTGGTGGCCACGCCCAAACACAGGTCAAGAAAGGAGGGGGTAGGAATGTTTTGACGTGACACTCGCTTGGAAGCCGAGAACACATCTGCACTTCCACGAGGAATCACTGGGATATTGGGTAAGAGGGTTGGGTTTGCAGCAGGGTTCGTTTTGGTAAACGATAAGTTGAATTGATGTCCTAACAATCATATAACGCGATGGAGCTTGGGATTGAACCCACGGTCTTCTGCTCAGTAAGCAAAAACGTTTGCCACTAGGCAGACGAGCTCCTTGAATCATCGAGTTGCTGTTATTTACATGTAGTAATGTTAATGTGAATGGGCGTGAGATTAAACTCATGGTGTTCTGCTTAGTCAGCAAAAACGGTTGTTCTAAGGCCACCGAGCCCTTCAAATCACATTATACCGTTTCTCAAGTTGTTATAACTATTCAAACCCGGCACCGACGACAACGAAAAGTTTAACAAAATACACGATAGACAAGTGATCTTACCATACATTTTTAATATGAAAGTACCTGGGACCACGTTTTTATGCTCAGTAAGCAAGCCACTGCAACCGACGATCTTTCAAATCTTAAAACTAAAAGCTACGAAAGAGTACTTAGTTCTTCATTAAGTTCCACTTTCACGCAACGTTCAATGTTTCGATTTGCTCTTTACGCATGGTTCAGGCAATTAAAACAAGCTATGACTGACGTGACGATTGTTTAATCCCTGGTTAAATAAGCGATTCTAATGAAATTACGTTCTCCAATGTCGCTTGGTATGTAATGAACAACAGTAATACACGATAATTCATATAGTTTCAGCGGTTGATGGTTAATTTGAAATACACTAATGCTGGGTTTAGACTAGGCAAGTCAAATGATCAACTCAGTTGAATTCATTTGGCTTGAAAAGTTGAGCCTGGTTCAACTTTTTTCAATTCAAGTGAGTTGATCAAGTCAGTTGAATGGTATGGTTTACACGTTCAATTCGCGTTCAAGTCAGTTGAATTCAACTGACTTGATCAATTGACTTGCCCTATCTAAACCCAGCTTAACGGTACTGCCTACGGCGACTGCGACGGTGAATACAACAGCGACTACGAAGGTGAATACTACGGCGAATACGACGGTACCTACGACAATAACAACAGCGAATTTGTAACTTACCATTTGTCTAGAATATAACACCTTTTCCCGGCACCTCCATTGAATCGCAAAATACCAGAGACGAGAAACAAGAAAAAATAAGTAACGAGAGGGACCAGAGAGGCGAGAAAGATGAGATAAATGGTAGCGTCGAGAGAATCAACAGACAAGGAAGAGGTATAACAGGCAAGAGCAGAAAAGTGATCCCAAAACGATTGCTTTATTGTCAATAAAAGCAATCGTTTTGGGATCACTTGTCCATATTGTCAATACATTCTTTTAAGCGATAAAACATCGATATTGACAATATTTATGTATTAACATCTTCAATATTATAGTCAATAATTCTCCTTTGCTTCAGTATA